AAGTCCAGTATTGTGTGAATCTGTTGGCATTCTCTATATTGCAAGAAAACTAGCATGCTTGTTTCTAAACAGTACATTTGCCTGTTTCACCAAATTAAGATTAATTTGCAACTTCACTTCTAAGTGTGGTTTTAGAAAATGCCTGATCTCACTGAAACCACACTGATGGAAGTAGGCAAAGTGACAGATCTAAAACTTACTGTTCTCCCTTCCTTCTCTTTTGAGCTGCAATTTACCACCCATCTAATAAATAGATGCGAAGTTAAAATTAAAAACCAATGTTCATGTGCCTTATCTGTCCCACCCCCATCCTGTAACAACTGCAGAATTTCCTACTCCACCCTGCCATGTTCTTGATACACTTTTTAGATCAATACAGTTTTGTACCTATTGTGGGTATAGCCTCAGTAAAGCCAATAGTTAACAGTTAGTGGTCATAGCAGTATCTGAAAAACACATCCAGAATGGCCCCCCTAAGACAACTGTCTGTCTCAGACACTACCCTGGACTGCAAGCACCACACAACAGTAGCTCCTTTGGACAAATACGGCATGTTTTCTCCCTACCAACAGCAGCTCTGTGATTTAGTGCTGTCAGGATTATTGGTGTACAATGCTCACTTCAGTGTTTAAATACATCTGGTTCTAAGACCCTAAATACCATTTCAGTGGAACAGATTCAACTGAATTCAGGAGAGCAACCCCTGAAAGAGCCCCAGTTTTCCCATTTAACTACCCAAAGCAGCTAGTTTCAGGCAGAAGCTTCCACATACACCTCATGTTTCACACTCGGCCATGTCCCTCTCCTCCTTTAACAGCCTCCTGGTGACCACACTTGTCCAGAGTGATAGAGACATATTCCAGGTTCACCCTCAACCTGGAAGGAAGACACTATGTGTTACTCTACCAGCTTAAGGACATGCCCAAACCACCAGGCCCTGTGTTATCACCAGTTTTGAAAATAGCTGTAGCAGAGACTGCCTTGCTGATTACTGTCTTACACACACAACACCAAGGGCTGGTGAAGCTCAAGTTTCAGAAAGTCTTTGACCCCTGTGTTAGGCTGTATCACCTTTCCAGTAAAGCCTCCATCTTTGCCAAGCTAGCTGCCTGGGTACCTCCCCCACTGCAGGTGATCTGAGCTCCAAAAGATTCATTACTCCAGGCTGCTGAGGAGAGCTCTCTGGATAAGCAAGCCCCACATGGCATCTCATACCCCATGAATGCCCTACACAACCCTATTGCAGGTCACACAAGCACCCTTCATGATCCTTTTGAAGGTGGATACAACACAGCAGTTACTTCAGGGTTCGAGAGCCCAGAGGCAACATAAGGCAAAGCTGAAGAGCTTTCTGTAGCTCAAGGAAGAAACAAGACCTGATGTTCTTTGTATTCAAAGCCTGACCAAAAAACCTGACATTTATGCAGAGATCAAGTCCCCAGCTAAGAGACCTAAGCACTCTATAGAGTCAAACCCCTAACACCTCTCCTCATGTCTTAGGAATTTCACATGTCTGGTTGGTTGACGCCTGTTTCAAAAGGCAATCTAGAATATTCTTGCTACTGTCTGGTAGCAAGGCTGCTCCTCAAATACATAAAGCTGCTGGCTCAAACCCTGCCTTAAGTGGTACACATCAGCACCCTGGCAATCAGTACCACACTTCACTCTCATTGTGTAAGGCTCTTCCAATGCAAGTTCTTAAATCACAGGTGCCTCAGGCATGTAGGCTGATTAGGCCTATTTCCCAAGCCGGTCTCCCAAAGTCAGACACCTAAATAACACTTTAAAGCTGAACTCCTGCCCTACACACCAGCAATACCACACTGACCTTTCAATATCAAAAGGAAATAAATGTGCCCAGCAAGGCAATCTCAGATAATGCTATTTTAAGTTCTGACTCCTTATACATGTGCTTCATCCCTGAACCACTGGAACAGCATCCAGGGCTGTAACACCATATTGTTTAAGTACACTCCTTCCCAAGTCCAGACCTGATTCCTGATGACAGCTAGAATCATTCAGCACAGGAGGAAAGAGTAGAAGTGAACATCGTAAAAATGTCTGGGTGATGAAATTCTTCTTGAGAACCTTCATTCCACAGGAATACTGCCACCATGACCAGACATCATCTGCAACATGTCAGATAGTTAAATGACTGATAAGATGACAGGATTCCTTGTGGTGAATCAAGCTTTTGTCAGTTGTGAATCAAGAGGCTCGCTGGTAAAACTACTGGCTGTGAATAATCATTTGGCATTGGTGTGATCCCATCATCCAAGACTACTTCCCCTAATTCATCCTGTGTGACCAAAGATCTATAATGGAAGATGGGCTGCATCTCACAGGTGCTCACTGAAGCAGCTGATATTTTCCAGCACAGCTCTTCTCTCTAGGCTCATTAAAAACAACTGAGCACACATACAGACCTAAGGAAAAGGTTCCTCATTTATGTAAGGACAGATATTCCAAGACACTTCAACACCTAAAAATGCATTTCAGTATACAGTGATGTTCCCGAGAAGTTCCTGATACAGCCAAGTGATCTATCTGCCACTAAAACCAAGCCGCAGGAAGCACTCATCATGTTTTGTAATGCTATTAGGCAAACTCTTACATATTAAGTTCCCTGTAACTAGTTACAGAGCCTGACTTCTGCCAAGTATCTTAAACACATTTTCAGACAAATATTGCAGAAGCAGTGTAGGGGGTTTCTGTAGAAAAGTTCTTATCCTTCCTGAAAAAAAGTTATCTTTTAGAAAATAGAAGAGTACTATAGTCAGATGAACAGCTGCTTCCTGTTCAGCTTTTTCCACCAAGAAACTGGTAATCACTGCCCATAAACAGTAAATAAGTTAATTTTGCTTGAAGCATTAAAATAAGAATCCATGCAAAGTCTCAGCAAATAATTTGAGAGATATGAAAGCTCTCTCCACAGATTTCTGCAACCACATTTCAAGCTCCACTCCAATCCTGACAATTGTCAACATAAAGCAAAAAAAACCCTTCCCACCCTCCCAACACCACTCTATTTGGAATAATCTTTTGATGGCTCTAGTTGAGCCTCTTTTCAATCACCTTGTCCTCAGATTTTCTAGCAGATTAAAACAAAGAAAATAAAAATATTTCAGTTATGACATTACAAGTGAAATCCACTGAGACTCCCTTCCAAATACAGCAAACATATGTCTAAGGAGCTTGCTTTCTGATAATCTTTTTTGCCTCATTTTTTTAACAACAGTCTTTTGCAGTGAGGTGGAATGGTCCAGCTGCTTCCATCTGCCTTTTGGCAAAAGAATCATCTTTTGAGAAATAGCTGACAAGCAAGTAACAGCAAGGAAGCTTTTCTCCATCAGAGCTGTGAGCAATAAACTCTCCCATACTGTCAGTTGAGTAACAGTGACAGTAGCACTGAAGACAGAGTGCAGTGGTAAGTGGCATACGTACGGGGCTTAGTGCAGAGAAAGACATCTTCCAGCTCTGAGGGTTTGCTAGGATTACTGTTCTGTGAGGTACAAAGAGATCTATTATGAAGAGAGAACCCCTATCCTGGAATTAGCTTGATGTTTATCAGGACTTTTAAAATCAAAATGGCAAGCAATCTAACTATGAAGGGGTAATTACTGAGCAAATACAACCTGGCAGAGACCTCAAACAAAAAAGTGCTTTGTACAGCTATACAAAAGTACAGCATTATCACCCAGTCATTACTCCTCACTAGAAGATTTTTTTCTTTGAATACTATCTTTAAGAAGTATAACAGTGTATCTCACAGAACACTTCAGCTAGCCTGGGTAGCAGAGACAGTGACTGCAAAAAAAAACCCCACACAGTACGAACTCTATCCAGTTGATACAAATATAGGCAGCAGCGAAGGAGAGGTCACAGAGAGCCTGGTGCATTACACCTGGACTGCCTGATCCCTGCAAGCAGCACAAAAGTACAATGATGACTTTTTCTTGCTTTCTCCATCTGGCCTGACCTGCAAGCCAAATGTAAGCTTCTCAAATCCCTGCACCAGAGACCAGGCTACTACACTACTTGTCATCTCAGGTTTACACTTCATCTAAAAACAGAGCTGAGCATAACACCTGCACAATAATTAGTCAAAACTTATTTGGTATCACTCTTAATTTTACTCTTGCTATTAAGAAAGGAATACCCATTTGTTAATGAAGCAGCAGGTCTTTTATAACAGGAACCAGCTTCCAAAAATAGGCACTGGGCAAGTTGCAGTTACAGGTATCTCTACTGATTCCCAAAGAGAATGTGGGATCTGCCAGCTGAACCTGCCCAGCATTTCACTGACTACACTGTCAAGTAGCCATCACACCTAACAACACTAACAAAAATATTAATTTGCCCCAGAAAACTTTTCCATTGCAAAAAAAAAAAAAAAGCACAAGTGAAAAAGTTCGGTTTATTTATTTACAAGGGTATAGGCAATCCTTACATGCTTGGCACTATTTACATTTTTTCCTTAATTGTAGTCGTTTCCAGGACAGTACTTACAAAGTTTACATCAGCATCCAGCTACAAACAGGTTTGGTATTTTTTTCCCACGAGCTCTAGCAGACAACTTTCACACAACTTACTAAATCCTTCCTTCTGCATAGGAAAGCATTCAATACATCTTTAACTTAAGAAGAGGGGTTTTTTTAATAGCTAGATCTCCGCTGGTGCTCACAGTCCTTCCAAGGGCAAAATACTGCTTTCAAGGAGTACGCACACGTGTGGAGATGTGCTTTTCGGAAGACGGGGTTTAACAGAAGCGACGTCTCTCAGACTCCCCACCCAGCAGAGAGACATCCCTCAGGTCCACCCGCTTTGCCGGGAAGTACAGCGGAAGCCTCACCGCGTTCCCAGCGGAGGAACCACCCCACCCTTCGAAAAGGGCAGGTTACCCTCGACGCCAAGCTCTCCCTCCAGCCCCCCCCGCCCCGGCTCGCTTCCCGACGGGCCGCGGCCGTTCCCCGCCTCAGCCCGCCCCAACGGCCGCTCACCTCGCTCATGGCTCGCGGCAGCCCGGCTCGCGGCAGCCCGCCCGGCACAGCGCTCCCGCCGCGCCCGCGCCGCCCCTTAAGTAAGCGGCGCCCCGCGCCCGGCCCGGCCCGCGCCAGCCAATCAGCGCCGCGCCCGCGCCGAGCCCCCCTCGCGCCCAACCCCATCCGAGAGGGCGCGGCGCCCCCTGGCGGCGCCGGGCGGGTGCGGGGTCCCGGGGTCTCCCCGCCCCCCACAGCCGGGAGCCCGCCCCCGCTGCCTCCTCCCCCGGCGACGGGCAGGGTGGGGGTCCTCGGGCTAGAGCTGCTGCTCCCCCCAAAGCCCCGGCACAATCTGCGCTCTCCTTTGGGGGGGGACTCCCGGGGCGCCCCTGCGGAGGGAAGAGGCCGTCACCGAGGGGGGCAACTGGGCACCTGGGGGTGGGCTCGGGCGCCCGGCTCGGGGCGGGGTGGGGGGGAGCGGGTCTTCACGTGGGGAGGTGGCCTGAAAACGCGACTTGCTGCCTGCTGCTCGGATTAAGTAGTCGAAGTTTCACGGCGCGCTCCGCCACCCGGGTTTGCTCTTTAGCGCTGGAGGAGCTCAGCAAGTCAGCGTGAGGCTCGTTGCCATTTTCTGTTGAAATACAAAGCGTTTCTGCCTCAAGCTGCTTTCGCAGGTATGTGGAAGAGAGTCTTTTTGGTAATTTTGCTGAACGAATAATTAAAGCAAAACTTTGGGAAGTGTGCTGTTACACTCCAGCATCCATCTTTTGATGGAGGACAATTACTATATTTGGCAATACACATTCAGATGCTCTGACTCATGTATCTGTGAAGAAATATAGATTCAATTTGCTCTGGGAATGCGTTTAACTCCCTCAAATTTTTCTCAAATCAATAAAAAAGTTAAGGCATTATTTTGGAGAGCCTGAGAAGCTTGCCAAACCTTTCCACATCCAGGGACTACCTTGCAGAAGCCTCTTCTTTTCATCAAAATCTATCTACAGGGTGAGTCTTAAGAGAGGCAGTGAAATAAATTTTGTGAGATCTTTCTGGAAACCGCCTTTCCCCTTTGAGTTGCAGAGGCGTAGGCACTGCAGTTTCACCTTCACGTACCACCCACCACCAGGAATAGCTGCGCAGTGAGGAAGGGGAACATGGAGCCATCCAGTTGCAGTCACCACTGCCACGGATTTCAGTCTGCTCCTCTCCGAATGCCTGCCTAGCCGTGCACTCCTCCCGGTGCTCTTCCCCAGCAGGCCTGGGCTGGGATCTTCCACCTGAGGATGAGGAGGCTTCACAAGCAGTGGAACCGGGCGTGTGTATCCTGGCAAGAATATAGGGACGCTGCTCAGGGATGTAAGGATGGGATCAGGAAAGATAAGGCATGGTTAGAGCTGAACTTGGCAATGGATGTGAAGAATAATAAGTGCTTTTACAGGTACGTCGTCCAGAAAATGATAAAAGAAAATTTACCCTCCTGGTAAATAAAACAGGAAATCTGGTGACAACCAACATGGAGAAGGCTGAGGTACTCAGAACATTTTTTGCCTCGGTTTCCGATGGTAATCTCTCTTCCCAAATCTCTAAAGCCCCTGAACCTCAAAGCAGGGACTGGAGGAATGAAGTCCTGGTGACTGCAAAAAGGAAATCACACCTATTTTAAAAAAGGAGGACCCTGGAAACTACCGACCAGTCAGCCTCACCTGGTAAAATCATGGAGCAAATTCTCCTGGAAGACATCAAAATATATGGAAGACATGGAGGTGATTACAGCCAACATGGCTTCGCTGAGGGCAAATTGTGCCTGAATAATCTAGTGACCTACGATGGAGTGGCTGCATCAGTGAACGAGGGAAGAGCTACAGATGTCATCTACCTATACTTCCGTAAGGCCTTTGATATGGTCCCCCACAACATTCTTGCTGCTGAATTGGAGAAAAATGGGTTTGATGGGTGGACTGTTGGATGGATAAGGAATTTCCTGAATGGCCACGTACAATGAGTTACAGTCAATGGCTCAGTGTCCAAGTGGAAACCAGTAATGAGTGGTGTCCTTCAAAGGTCTATACTGGGACCAATACCATTTATATCTTCATCAGTGACATAGACAGTGGAATTGAGAGCACCCTCAGCAAGTCTGCAGCTGACACCAAGCTGAGTGACGCAGGTGATTCACTGGAGGGAAGAGGTGCCTTCCAGAGGGACTTTGACATGCTTGAGGAGTGGGACTGTGTGAATCCCATGAAGTTCAGCAAGGCCAAGTGCAAGGTCCTGCACTGGGGTTGGGGCAACCCCAGCGTCAGTACGGGCTGGGATATGAAGGGATTGAGAGCAGCCCTGTGGAAAAGGGCACGGGGGTACTAATGGATGAAAAGCTGGGCGTGAGCCAGCAATGTGCGCTCGCAGCCCAGAAAGCCAATCCTATCCTGGCCTGCACCAGGAGAAGTGTGGCCAGCAGGTTATGGGAGGGGATTCTGCCCCTCTGCTCCGCTCTCGTGAGACCCCACCAGGAGTACTGCCTCCAACTGTAGGATCCCCAGTACAAGACATGGGCCTGTTGGAGAGGGTCCAGAGGAAGGTGATGAAAATGGTCAGAGGCCCTGAGCACCTATGAGAACAGGCTGAGAGATTTGGGGTTGTTCAGCCTGGAGAAGAGAAGGCTCCGGGGAGATCATATTGTGGCCTTTTATTACTTGAAGGAGGCTTATAAGAAAGATGTATAGAGACTTTTTACCAGGGCCTGCACAGGGCTGTGGGGATGGGGATGATACAATCTGGTGCAGGGCTTGATAACAGGAAAGTGGTAGATGTGTGATTTGCTTCCTGCTTCCTTCAGGGTTCTGGGAAGGTGGAGGAAGTTGAGGGCATGAATTAAAGATGGGCACTGGAGTCCTCAGCTGGAGAAGGAGGTAAATCGTCTCTGAAGAAGTAAAAGTGCTGCCTTTTATTTCACTTAATTTCCCAGGTTGACAAGAGCCAACCCACATACCTTTGTGAATCCATTCATATCCATTTACTTGAACTGATAAACATGTTATTGTATCAGCTCAGAAACTTGCTGCCCTGACTTCTGAGCAGGAATAAAATGCTAAATTGTGATTTATCCTTGCTCTGGAGAAACTCGCTGCCTCCTGACAAGGTAAGAGCCAGCACAGTTCTTCTCAGTTGCTGATATGATTACTAGCCTGAGCCAGCCACTGGGACCTTCACAGTCTTGATTTTCAGCGAGGACATCTGGGATCCAAGTCTTGCAGGGAAGCAGAGAGGTGGACAGCAGTATGCAAACCCATGCAGTGTTGATCCAGCAGCAGGAGGAGGACTTTCATTTATTTGCCCTGTTAAACACAGTGACATATTTACAATTTGTGACATTATTAGACTAGTATTTGATCTTTAACCTGAGCCAGTGCTGTGTTTGTGGATAAGCATTGTCCCTTTAAAAAGTAGTTCACAGCACAAGGTAGTTGGAGAAGAATTACCTCACCAAATGCATGGATATATGATTTTTAGGTATAGCTTAAGAACCAATCCTGCCATTCACAACTGGAGATCACAGTGCTGCAGGGACTCTACTTTTTATGAATCTGAAGCTTGAACAGATATTCCCTTTTTTTTTTCTTTTTGAGGCTTCTCCGGGTTACTAGTGATAAAAAAAGAGGGAAAAGACCCCTTTTAAAATATAATCCTTGGTCCTCTTTTTTTACGGCAATATTCCCAGGACCTCCGCCAGCATCTGGCATTTTTTACAATTTACATTAATTGTCCCAGTTTTTGTTGTGAGCGGACCAAGTGGGCAATAAGCATGGTAAGCATTCGTCGCATCAGTAGCAGTTTGTTCTGCATCTTCAGGGGTGTCAGTACAGTGTAAGGACCCAAAGTAATTATGAAGTTCAGCCCCTGAAGAAGCTTTTATATTATGTGACAACATTTTCCAGTGAGAAGTAATTACAGGTACCTTGCATTAGTATTCATATTCTGATAGGAGTGCCATTGGTCTGTCAGCCTATGGGTACAAGGCACAGTGCTAACATAAATTATTAAAGGCGTATTTCTGACCAAAGGGCTCACAATCACATGACAAGTGATGCAGACTGCTGAGAGAAAAATCTTTTCAGTTTCCATTGACACTGATGGGCGTCCTATCAGTCTCACTCTTCACCATCAAAATAAATGTGTCAAATTCAAGCAGAAATCTCATGGTGATTATTCAGGCTGTACTCCACTGTACATGGAGGAACTTGTTAGCAGAGAAGACTCTTTGCACTAGATTCAGTAGGGGAACTTAAAATGTTTTTATTTTCTGACCCGTTTTGAGGAGTTCACAGCTTCCAAGAGAGGCACAGTGCCGAGCACACGGGGCTGATCTGGGGAAGCCCAGATGTCCCATGGCATGGCCCTCAGCCCTGTGCCCTCACTTGCAGTGCCCACCCACTGCAGGACATCCTGCGCTCCCAGTTCAGCACCTGCGGGCAGGACTGGTGTGAGCTGGCATTTTGAGGAATGAGCTGTCCGCATTAGCTAGTGGGAGAAGTGGAGGAGGGTGGAAATCCCTCTCTTCTTGGGGCCCTGTGTTAAATTTGAGTTCATAGCCAGGTGCCACACTTTTCAAATACAGCACCAGGCATGGTCACTTCTTGTAGAGCAATGACCCTGATGCTGATGGCAGTACCCTCCATGCAGTGACTCTCTGCTCTGAGGACAATTTGCATGTATTTCATCATGCAGTCATAGTATAAGATGCATAATCTACCCTCAGACAGGTCCCTTAGTGAGCACAGGACTCCCCTCTCCCTGATGAAAGCCTCTGACCCGCAGAGATGCATCTGTTGTCTCTCTCCCTCTGAACAAAGCTTGCTCCCTGTCTCCTAGGTTTGCATATCATATGCTGGAGAAAACTTCCACAGCCAACCAAAGCAATCTAGATATAAGCTAGGCTGAAATGTTATGTGCCTCTCCTACTTCTTAGTATGAACCTACTGAACTTAATAGCTCTTGAACGAACACAGAGACACAGATACATCTTAATCTTGGGTACAGCCTGAGCTCTGACATTTTAATTTATGAGCCAGTTTAGTTTGACATATCT